GAGAGAATAAAAGCATCCAGAAGCACAGGAGGGGCCTCTGACCTTGAGGAAGACGATAAAGACACGGACTTAATTCCAGTTATCCCAAGCATGTACAAGGCACCATACAGTTCTAAATGCCCAGGAATTCAGAAAAGGTCTATCCTATTACTGGCCATCTTTGGGAACATATCCACAGAGGCTTGATATTGGTAGTAGGCTGGAGGAAATGATAAGAGACCTATGCCAAGACTGGCAGACAGAAAATGGCAAATTCTTGAAGGACCATGTCTTTAATATTCAAATTGTTCAGGGCTAGCTTTGCAGCCCAGTAGTAAAACACTTGCCTAGCATGCAGAAGGCCCTGGGTTTGATCCCCAGTATCACTGAAATAATTCAAATTATTTAAAGTTTTCACTATAAAATGGCTAATGTGACATTCACCTCAGCAGGCTGAGGAAGCTACACTGAGATAGCGACAACCAAAAAAAAGTTTTTAAAATTTTATTTATTGTTGAAGCTAAATAGTAATTCTCATGGTTCAGAATCCAAAGGTAAAAAAGTGTGTACATTAAGAACATTTTATCTTTTCTTGAAATACCCAATTTCCCTTTCTGAAAGCAACTGGTGTCATAGGATTTGTGTGTGTGTGTGTGTGTGTGTGTGTGTGTAGTTTCTTTTGTAACTATCTGATGATGTTCTATGTTTTTAATGCTCTCTTTTTTTACACAAATGGTAGCTTATCTACTACGCATACTGTTCTGTACCTTGCTCTAATCATCTACCACAAGCGCCAACACTGAACACTTAACTCATTTAATTCCCACAACAATCATATGAGGTAGATACTATTAATATGCTCATAACCCTTATTTTTTTTCCTTTTTTTTTTGTTTGGGTGCATAGCACATATGTATTGGGAATTGAATTCAGAATCTCATGCATGCTAGGCACATGCTCTACTACTGAACTACACTCCAAGTCCCCAAACCTCATTTTTAGAGGTGAAAAAAACTGAGTTTCAATTAAGTTAAAAATTACAGATCCAATAATTGGTGTGGGTCAGACTTGAACTCAGGCAGTCTGATTTCAGAATATTTGTCTTTAACCACCCAACTTTACAATTTCAACCTAAAGAACTTTCTAATTCATTTTCTCAGCTGCATAATATCCCATTGAATGGCTATTGTAAATTATTATTACCTATTGATAAACACTTAGGTTTTTCCCAATCTTCTTCCGTTATGCTATAGTGAATAAGCTTGGACACGGGTTTTGGAGACTATTTTTTTTTACTTACTTTTTAGTTGTAGTTGGACACAATACCTTTATTTTATTTAATTATTTTTATGTGGTGCTGAGGATCAAACCCAGGACCTCACACATGCCCCTTCTGAGGCTATTTTTGATACACTTTTAAAAATTGCCTTCCCTCTTGCCCTACCAATTTATACTCAATGTACACACAGAGAAATAAATCACCAGAAATCTTCTCTAGCAGATCCTTATATTATGGCACCACAAGATTAAGAATGATCTAAATGCTTCTTTCTTCAAATTTATCCCTCACCATCTTCATAGGAGAATCAAAACACCCTTTGTTATAGCCAAAGGCTAAGGAATTTTCTATTACCTGTGAAAGAAGAGGGAGATCTGAAGATACCAGACCATTTGCTAAAGTTGAAATTTGGCAAGTAGCCACTAAACAGCACTTTCATTTTAGTCCCTGAATATATATGTATGCATATATCTTGCTTGCTTACTACTCACAGCCTTGTCTGCTTTTCGTCCAATGCCATTTCACTCACTCAAGTGCAAATATTTATTGAATTCCTCCTATATTTAGGCACCTGTTAGATAAAGATGAGTAAAATGCACAAATAGGCTGTTTCAAGTGGCTCCAAAAGGAAGAAATGCAAATGGCTAGGCTTCAACTATGTGCCAGAATAAAATGTTGCTCCCATCTGGGAGTACGCTGCTGCCTGTCAGTTTCTGGGAAGAAACAGGACTGCCTTTGATCTGGCATACTTTTTCTATGTAAGCTTTGTTCCTATTTGTAATTCTCCTAGAAATTAAGACAGCATTTCGAGAAAGAGTGGCCTTCTGGGGCTGGGGCTCAGCGGTAGCGCACTTGCCTTGCATGTGTGAGGCACTGGGTTCAATTCTCAGCACCACATATAAATAAAATAAAGATCTATCAACAATGAAGGGAAAAATATTTTTAAAAGAGTGGCCTTCAACTACTGTGTGTGTAAGTTATTTCAAATCCCAGGGGCTACCATCAGAGTTTATTAGTAGGTAGCGTATTATTTGACTTCAGCATGACAGGAATTTTTCAGTAGGCTGGGTAAGACTTTTCTGAGGTTAGAACTACACCCTACGAGCATCTAAAAATATGCTGCTGGGGAACCTTAAGAGCAAGATGGGAACAGATTTTACTTTGTTCAAAATAACTTATAAATAATGGAAACTTACTTCTCACCGTTCTGAGTGCTGGTAAGTTCCAAATCAGGGACCATCAGATTCTGTCTGGTGAGGGCTGCTCTGCTTCAAGGATGGCACCCTCTTTCTCCATCTTCTCAGGACAATAGGCAAGGGAATTCCTCCAATCTGTTTATAAAGGCACTAATTTCATTCATAGGGGCTCCTCCCTCAAGGTTAAATCACCTCCTAAAGGTCCTGCTTCTTAATACTATTGTGTTGGTGATTAAGTTCCAACATGACTTTGTGGGGACATAAGAGCTGGACTTTCATTCCTTAAAAACTTTCTGCATTTGTTAGCTATAGTTTTCTGCAAGTGTATGGACCTTGTGGTAGGGTAACATTTCCATAATCATTACATTACAAACCAACAGGACCACAAGTGAATGGTGAAGTTCAGGGTAAAGTAAGCATTTAATGCAGGGTGATTTGAAGGAAGGAAAATTTGCTTGAATTTCTATTAAAACCCATTATTTCTGGTTCAAGGATTGGACCAGAAGTTAAAAACAGAAACAATGCTAGGGTGCTGGGGTTGTGGCTCAGTGGTAGAACGCTTGCCTTGCAGGTGTGAGGCACTGGGTTCAAGCCACATAAAAAATAAATTAATAAACAAAGATATTGTGTGTCCATCTATTACCCCCCCCCCAAAAAAAAACAATGCTGGGGATATAGCTCAGTTGGTAGAGTGGTTGTCTCATATTCACAAAGCCCTGGGTTCAGTCCCCAGCACCACAAAAATAAAAATTAAAAACAAAATCTGTTTAACAGGATCCCACAGCTGAAGAACAGGGAGGGGTCACTTTTCTCTCTTTCTGCCATTCCTGAAACAAAGTAGGTTATGTCCTTTTTGTTGAGAGAATAGCCATCATCTCTTTAGTTCTTATCTACCAGCTCTCAGTGGGATCAACTTGTTTAATTATTTTATTTTGAGGTGGGGATTAAACCCAGGGCTTTACCCATACCAGGCAAATTCTCTATCACCAAGCTATATCCCCAGCCCATTTTAAAAATTTGAGGCACGGTTTCATTAAGACACCCAAGCTAGCCTCAAACTCGAGATCCCCCTGCCTCAGCCTCCCCGGCTGCTGGGATGACAGGTGTGTGCCACCACACTTGCTTCACTTACATTGTATATTTACCCAGAGTGAATTTGTGAAGGGGGAGCACATAAAGATTAATTGGGTAAAAAGCAAGGTCACTGATGTGACTAATGCTTAATTATAGCATAATACCTGATACTTGAAACTTAACTGCAAATATTTATCAGTGTTTCCCACTACACTAAATTTCTTGGAAGGTGGAGCCCATCTTACTCATCTGGAATTTATTATTATTATTATTTTAATATTTATATTTTAGGGACTGGGGTTGTGGCTCAGCAGTAGAGCATTTGCCTAGCACCTGCGAGGCCCTGGGTTCGATCCTCAGCACTACATAAAAATGAATAAATAAAATAAAGGTATTGTGTTAAACTACAACCAAAAAATATTTTATTTTTTAAAAAATACTTAATTTTTTAAAAAATATTTATTTTTTAGTTGTAGTTGGACAGAGTATCTTTTTTTTTTATTTTTATGTGGTGCTGAGCATCAAACCCAGTGCCTTAAGCCGGCTAGGTGAGTACTCTACCACTGAGCCACAATCCCAGCCCTATTATTATTATTATTATTATTATTTTACAGTGCTGAGGGTCAAACTCAAGCCCTCATGAATGCTAGTTAAAAGTTCTATCATTGAGCTATATCCCCAGTCCCTAAAGGTGAAACATAAATTTTGAGGTTTTTTTTTTTTATGTAATCTTGACTAAAAATGAGTTTGTTGTTAACTTGAGAAATAGATAAGTCTCTTTAAGGGCTTTTGACATTCTGTTAGAAACAAACGAAAAAGTTTCGGAAAATGAGGTTGACAAAATCTTTTTATCAGGGCTCAGCATGTGTAAGGCACTGGGTTCGAGTCTCAGCACCACATATAAATAAATGAATAAAATAAAGATCTATCAATATTTTTAAAAATTCATTTAAAAATCTTTTTATCATTGCTCAAACCTATTGCTTAGTGTCTGTTAACTCTTGGTTCCTCTTCCTTTTAAAAATAATAAAGCTTGAACGCTATTGATTTAGACTTGTAATTCATACGGTCAGACTCTATACATCACACTTCTGGACGTTTTATTACAAAGCGGCAAGCAACGGAAGGGAGCAACGCCGCTGAAAAACTGCTCATAACAACTTAGTGATCGCAGGCTCATTGGATGACAGCGACATACTCGCTATCCAATCGCCAGTAAACCCGGAGTGAACGCTCTCTGGATTGGTGACAGGAAACATCTCTCAAGGTAATTCAAGAAGGCAGGCAGCACCTCTGGCCAATCAGAGGAATTTTGGGGCCGGCCTTGCCGCAGGGGGGTGGTATAGAACAAGTCACCGGAGAAAAATCTCCGCGGTCAGACCTGCCTTCCGCGAAGGGAGAGGGCGTGGCCTCCGCCTGCGAGCTCCAGGCAAGTGGGCGGGGCGCGCGGGCCTGGGCGGGGCGAGTGGATTCTGCGGCGGAGCCGGATGCGGGCGGCGCCGCGGCCGCCGCGGCTCCAGGAATGGGCGGAGCCCCGGCCGCTTGTGCTAGTGGCCACCGCCGCTGCCCAACCCGGAGACCGAGCTGCCGCCTTAGTTCCCGCGCGTCGCTGCTTCCCAGAGCGGCGGAATGCTGGGGAAAGGGGTAGTCGGCGGTGGCGGTGGCACCAAAGCGCCAAAGCCCTCCTTCGTGTCGTACGTGCGCCCGGAGGTGAGAGTGCGCCGCGCGGGCGCAGCGTCGGGCTGGAGTGGCCAGGACCAGGGGTATCGGAACCGTGCCTTGACGCGGAACCGGGCGCTTCCTGCCGGTCTTCGGGGCGGGGCGAGGCCCTAGGGCCGCAGCGGCCTCGCTCGGGCGGGGCCGGGACCCCCGGGCGGGCAGGCAGGTGCTCGAGCGTAGCGCCGGGCTCGCTGGCCAACGAATGAAGGGGCCGGAGCCGGGCAGGTCTTGCGGCTGGGCCGCCCTGGGGTACTCTAGTGGGGAACTGGGATTGTGGGCACCGCTCTGAGAGGGAAGGGCTCGTGTTCGGGACCCGCATGGGGCGGCTCCTAGAGTCCGCAGCCCGGTGGGTCTGTCCTGCGCTGGACTTTGTCCGTGAATCTTCAGGGCTCTCCTGTCCCAGCTGCCTGTTTCTGAGTGCCATTTGATGCCACTGGGGGGATACTTTGCACCACCTGCTGCCTCCCATCAGCGCTGCGCTGCGGCTAGAATGTGGGTCGGCCCTGGTCTCAGCCTGTCTCTGTCTGACCCTTGTGAATTCCTCTGTTTTATTTCTTTCCCTTTCATATCACCCCCGCTTCTTGTGGTTCCCCTGCCGTTTTACTGTCAAGAAGTTCGTTCGTTCATTCATTCATTCCTAAAATACTTTCCGAGCTCCTACTGTGTGCCAGGAAGCACTGTTCTGAACACTTGTGATATACATCATCAGTGAGCAGAACAAAGATCTCTCCCCGGAGCTTATATGAGAGGGAGAAGAGAAACTGACTAAATCATAGATATATAAGCAAATTATAGGGTGTATTAGAAGATAAGAATGGGAAACAAAAGGCATCCTTTTCATCCTTGAAAAGGGGCATTTGAGCCAAAACATGAGCGGAGAGTGGTCCAGGTAGCTGGGCCTGGTGTGGCCTGGTGAAAGCCAATGAAAGCTTGGAGCAGCACAAGGGAAGCCAGCATTGCACATGCCCTATGGGCAGGAGGGAGAGGTAAGGGCAAATTTCTAGACCTTTTTAATGGTTTCTTAGAACTGTAGCTTTTAATGAATGCCTAATTAAATGCCTTCACATTTTGGATTTATTGAAGGTTTAATCTACCTTTCCCTACATACAGCACTTTAATCAACAACACACACAACTATCAAATTCCCTATCTCCAGATGTCTTCTCTTCCCACTTTTCACTTCTGTAAGGCAGAGACAAGTGAGCTGTGGATGAGAGGTCTTAATCAGGGACTGCTTCTTCAAGACTACCTGGACTCCATAACCTTTGCATATGAATTTTCAAATTCAAGATGAGTGTGTTTTCTCTAGTGGAGAGTACTTTTGATATGGGCCTTATTTTTAGTCCTAATTTAAAAATAAAAACCACTTCCTCTGTTAGTACTTTATATGGAGTCACGGTCATCTTAAATTTTCAGCAGACTTCCTGTGTAATCACATGTAAGTAATGTGGTCAGTTTCTTTTTTTTTTAATATTCTCTTTAAAAAATACCTTTATTTCATTTGTTTTGTATTTTTTTTAGTGCCAGGGATCAAACTCAGTGCCTCACATATGCTAGGTAAGCCCTCTACCACTGAGCCACAACCCCAGCCTGGTCAGTTTCTTTTTGTGTCTTTTTTAATAGAGCCGTGGTTGAAGAACAAGTGGTCTTTAACCTTTCCTCTTCAGTGAGATTAAACTTACAAGTGGAAAGTCTTCTGAAATGTGGCCAGAGTTCAAGAATGTTCAAATTCCTCATCCACCAAATGCACATGTTGTAATTAGACATATTTTCACTCTTTGCCCACAGTTCCTGATATATTTCTTTTGAGGCATAATTAGGAAAGGAGAGTAGTTCAGCCCCCAGATAAGCCTGAATGATTGCATTTTTCAGATCCTTAGAGTTGGCAGTTTTGTTTTCTTGCATTAAAATAATGCTGTCAGATGCTATTCTTCTCTGTTGTATTCTGATTCTAAAAAATATTTTGTAACAGGATAAGGCTCTCACCTAAATTATGGATCTTTTTTTTTTTAAGTAAGGATAGGAGGAGGTGAGAAAGAATTTATTTTTAAGTATATAGCTTTGCAAGACTTCCCATTATGGGAAATGCATGTGAGCAGCATTGAGGCATTGTTTATGTGTCGCAGAGCCTTGGGTCTAGTAACCTCTACATTCACCCAGTGGGAGAGTCCCTCAGAACACTTAAAGTTGTCATTCACTGTTTCTACTCCTGTGTCCCTCATGTTGCCTTCATCTTTACAAGCCTTTGGTATATGGCTTGCTATCACTTCTTTCTTTTGCTAGCTGGAAATTGCAGTTTCTCAGATGCTTTTTTTTTGTAGATGTCTGAGCTGCCAGAACAACTTTTAAGCCTTACAGTGTAATGATAGCTAAGTAGAGAAAAGCTTATTCTTGGCTGATCAGGTCCTGGAATGTTCAATGTCAGTGGCCTTCAGTATACCAAAAAGTCTATCAAGAGTCAGCACTTTGTGTTGAAAAACAAAAATAAAGTATTGATAAAGTATTTGAAGATAATGTTGTTAAACATAGCCTTATTTTTTCCTTGATCAAAAAGAACTGACATGCTGGGGATGTGGCTCAAGCAGTAGTGCACTTGGGGATGTGACTCAAACAGCAGCGTGCTTGCCTGGCATGCATGCGGCCCAGGTTCGATCCTCAGTACCACATACAAACAAAGATGTTGTGTCCGCAGAAAACTAAAAAATAAAATATTAAAAATTCTCTCTCTCTCTCTCTCTCTCTCTCTCTCTCTGTTTAGAAACAAACAAACAAACAAAAAAAGAACTGACTTTTTGGGCTGGGGCTGGGGCTTAGTGGTAGAGTGTTTGCTTTGCATGAGTGAGGCCCTGAGTTTGATTCTCACCATTACATAAAAATAAATAAAGATATTGTGCCCATCTATAATTAAAAAAACAAAGAACTGACTTTTGATAGCCTAAAATGAGAGATAATAATTAACCCCAACTTTTAAATTGAATCTCTGCCAGAGTAACTTGTGCTCTTCTGTCTTTAATTCTGATAAGTCAGTGAATATGACAAGTAAAACTCTGAACTGTAATTGGGGACCTGTAGCCAAGTTTTGTAAATTATTCAGAGAGTTACTAGTAAGTAGGAAGCTGAAGGCTCTGAACGTTTAGGTGAACAAGAGAGAGGAATCTGGGGCCATATTTGTACTTGATGTTAGGTGCCTTAAAAACATCTCAGCACCCTTATCTTAGCTCAGTCCCAAGCACAAGATACAAAGGATGTTGGTGCCTATGTGCAAGGGAACTGTTGGGTACTGAGATCTGCTCCAGGCAGGTATCTAGTTATAGTTTGGATGCTGGATCCATCTTTCCTCTTAAAATATGAGACTTAAAAGTTTAAATTATTATTTTATCAGAAGCCGTACATAGGTGTTCATTACAGAAAAATAAGACAAATATATACAAAAATGTTAAGTAAAAATTATAAACTTACTAACAATTTATGTATCATCAGATATGTGTATAAGTACATACATATACATATATGTATATATATGAGTGTGTATGTTACAAAAATGGGATTAATACTGCTAATTATACTGCTTTTTAATGTTTTTCTCCAAAAATATGTATTATAAACATCTTACCATGTCAGTTGTTCAGTTACAACTTTATTTTGAATTAGCAAGAGCTAGAGATGTAGCTCGGTGAGAGAATGCTTCCCTAGTATGCTGAAGCCCTGGGTTCAGTGTTTACTACATCAACAAACAAACAAATAAACCTCTTCCTGAATAGAAACACACTGTGGTGGAAAGCTATAGTAGCACAAACAGCTAAAGGAGATGATTTTCAAATTCAGATAGTTTTGTTAGGAACTTTTTCTGATGCTGAATGACAATTCTGATTCTTCAAGAGTATCAGTTCTTTGCTCAGATACCTTGAAATTGTTAGCACTGGTTTGGTAATTTATAATGATTAGAAATTCTTAGCACTGTACTGTGAAGCTTTTACATAAAGGACAATTTGGTGATCCTAAGAGAAAGTTCTGATTTAACAAGAATCCGTTTCATTGTGATAGTCAGTAAAATAAGAGCTTCAGGGAGCTTGCATGTTCTTTAAAACTGACCTGGAAAAATTTAGCTTTTAAATTTCTGCTGTACTTGTACTTATTTTTGTGTGGTCTTCAAATATGGTTACAATGTACTTTCTAATAGAGCTTGAGTTGATGTTTCACTAGAATATAATAATAATTATTATCAATGATGGATTTTTAGATTTGAAAGATTTTAATCTAGTCCACCTCTCTACTTTTTTCCATTATATAGATGTGAAAAACTGAGATCTACCAGGTTAAATGTCCTGCTCAAGAGCACAGTGGTATTGCAGAATAGAGATCAGAGTTAAAAACTGTCTTCTAAAAAGATCCAGCAGTGTCAATGGCTAAGCCAAGACCCACAGGAACTCAGGAAAGGCTTTATATAGATGTGGGAAGAAAAGGCAAGAAGAGAGATGAAGATTGAGAAGGGCAAAAATAAATAAATAAATAAATAAAATAATGGTTGTGAGAACCATTTTTTTTTTAAATTTATCTCTCAGGGAAGAATTGCACAGCCCTTTTTTAACCCATTCCTTTGGTGAGGAGAAGTGAATTTGTGATAATGTATTCTTCCCAGAGATAGGACTGTGGGTATATACCAAAACAGACAGAGTAATTCCTAATATACTTATTAGGCATTTCTGTGCCCAGGATCTATACTTATTTCATATTTTCAACAATCTTATGAAACAGATCCTATTATAACTCCCCTCCCCTTTGTTTTCAGATGTGGAAAACGGCTCAGAGAAGTTAAGTACCTTGTTCAAGATCATAACTAATGGGATTGGGGATATAGCTCTGTGGTAGAGCAAGAGCAGGGTTCAATCCCCAGTACCACCAAAAACAAACAAACAAAACTAGCAATTTTTGGTGCCAGATTTAAAAGTCTGACTCCAGCTGAGCACAGTGGTGCATGCCTGTAATCTCAG